GCCTCCTGTACACCTCCTACTGGGAATGTGCCCACATCCAAGGTACCTGCCCTTGACCAGAATCGAACCTGGGACCCTTCAGTCCACAGGCCGACACTCTATCAACTGAGCCACACCAGTCAGGGCATCACAGGGTTTTATTTTTGCTCCTTGAAGGGACTAGCAAATGAGGTACTCCTTTAAAATCTTAAGAGCTTCAACCTTCAATGTTCTTTGTTTTATCCATCTAAACACATTCAGCCTCTGTACATCTGTGCCTTTCAAATGTTTGGAGGAGTCCTTCACCTCAGCCCCTCGTTCTGTACCCCGAGCTCCCCAGGGCCTAACGATGCGCGTGGAGCGCTTTACCTGCTGGTGCGGCCCCTTGGGCAGTGTCGCTCTATCCACTGAGCCAAACCAGCCAGGGCCAAAATAACATTTTAAACAATATTTGGTGACATCAGCAAGACAGCTAACTAGGCCCTTGTTTTCCCCACAGAAACACCTAATAAACAACAATATGTGGACCGATAAAGCTCTGTCAGAAATCTAGAAACCAGTTAAGAAGCTGCAAGAACCAAGCCATGCGTAAACATAAAAAGCCACCCTGAGGTGGCTGGTGGGCTGAGGTGGCTGGTGGAGTGGTTTGCCTGGCCCGCTCAGGGATGGGGATGCTGGGAACACGCTGGTGCAGCCGCATGGTCGAGTTGCAGGTCGATGACGGGTAAGAGAGTACACAGGCAGAGGCATACAACAGACGCAAGGCTTCTGAGCACAAGCAGAAATGAGACGCTTACATATAAATAAAGGCATTTAGAAGCAGCTGAGTTTATGGGAACTGGGTGGAAGCGCACATGCAGTCCCAGGGGCCATGCGCACCTAGAAAGGGCTGAGAGGGCCATGAGCCTTTAAGCCAGCCACTCAGTAAAGACGGAGAGGGAATTTGTTTCAAATACCTAAATCTCAACAAAAAACTCTCAAATATGCTCAGCGAGCTAAATGAAAAACGGACAGACTAAACAACATCAACAAAAAAGATTTTCAAAAAATGAGAGTATCAACAGGGATAGAAATTATAAAACAAGATACTGGAAGCCCCAGCCAGAGCAGTTAGTCAAGAAAAAGAAGGAAAAGGCATCCAAAATGAAAAAAGTAAAATTATCTCTGTTCACAGACGACATAGCTGATAATGTGAAAGCCTTAAAAGACTTAACTCACCCACACACAGAGCTAACAAATGAATTCAGCAAAGCTGCAAGGTACCAAATTAACACACAAAAATCAGGTGTTTCTATCCACTAACAACAATTTGAAAAAAAAATTAAAAATTTCATTTACAACTGCATCTAAATACAATACTTATGAATAAATTTAAGGAGGCCAAAGACTGGTCCAACTGAAAACTACAAAATATTAGTGAAAGAAATTAAAGATACAAATAAATGGAAAGACATCGTATATTCATTCACATCCCAAGACCTAATATTAAGGTGTCGGGACCATCCAAGGTGATCCACAGGTTTAATCCAATCTCTATCCAAATCCCAATGGCATTTTTTCCCAGTCATATCAAGGGACCCTGAAGAGCCAAAATAATCTTGAAAGACAAAGTTGGAGGTACCATACCTGATTTCAAAACTTATTATAAATCTACAGTAATTAAAACAGTGCGATACTGGCATAAAGACAGGCGTAGAGACCAATGGAACAGAATGGAGAACCCAGACATAAACTCTGTGGTGAAATGATGTTCAACAAGGATGCCAAGGCCACTCAATGGGGTAAGGCCAGTCTTTTCATCAAACGGCGCTGGGAACATTAGACATCCATATGAAAAGTATAAAGATAGGTCGTGACACAGCCACTTGGCCTGGAGGTCAAACCCTCCCTGGTATTAGCTACAACAATCAAGGCTTAACTACAAGACTGCGCACAAAGACCACTAGGGGGTGCACCAAGAAAGCATAACAAAATGCAGAGACAAAGAAACAGGACAAAACTGTCAATGGAGGATATAGAGTTCAGAACCACACTTTTAAGGTCTCTCAAGAACTGTTTAGAAGCCACCGATAAACTTAATGAGATCTACAAGAAAACTAATGAGACCCTCGATGTTATGCTGGGGAACCAACTAGAAATTAAGCATACACCGACTGAAATAAAGAATACTATACAGACTCCCAACAGCAGACCAGAGGAGCGCAAGAATCAAGTCAATGATTTGAAATGCGAGGAAGCAAAAAACACCCAACCGGAGGGGCGGAATGAAAAAAGAATCCAAAAATGCGAGGATAGTGTAAGGAGCCTCTGGGACAACTTCAAGCGTACCAACATCAGAATTATAGGGGTACCAGAAGATGAGAGAGAGCAAGATATTGAAAACCTATTTGAAGAAATAATGACAGAAAACTTCCCCCACCTGGTGAAAGAAATAGACTTACAGGTCCAAGAAGCGCGGAGAACCCCAAACAAAAGGAATCCAAAGAGGACCACACCAAGACACATCATAATTAAAATGCCAAGAGCAAAAGACAAAGAGAGAATCTTAAAAGCAGCAAGAGAAAGAAACTCAGTGACCTACAAGGGAATACCCATACGACTGTCAGCTGATTTCTCAACAGAAACTTTGCAGGCCAGAAGGGAGTGGCAAGAAATATTCAAAGTGATGAATACCAAGAACCTACAACCAAGATTACTTTATCCAGCAAAGCTATCATTCAGAATTGAAGGTCAGATAAAGAGCTTCACAGATAAGGAAAAGCTAAAGGAGTTCATCACCACCAAACCAGTATTATATGAAATGCTGAAAGGTATCCTTTAAGAAGAGGAAGAAGAAGAAAAAGGTAAAGATACAAATTATGAACAACAAACATGCATCTATCAACAAGTGAATCTAAGAATCAAGTGAATAAATAATCTGATGAACAGAATGAACTGGTGATTATAATAGAATCAGGGACATAGAAAGGGAATGGACTGACTATTCTTGGGGGGGGGAAGGGTGTGGGAGATGCGGGAAGAGACTGGACAAAAATTGTGCACCTATGGATGAGGACAGTGGGTGGGGAGTGAAGGTGGAGGGTGGGGCAGGAACTGGGAGGAGGGGAGTTATGGGGGAAAAAAAGAGGAACAAATGTAATAATCTGAACAATAAAGATTTAATTAAAAAAAAAATAAAGATAGGTCGTGTCTTAGCCTGTGTAGGCTGCTATAACAAAATAGCACAGACTGGGTAGCTTACAAATAGCAACTTACTTCTCAGTTCTGGAGGCTGGGAAGTCCAAGGACAAGGTGCCAGCATGGTTGCTCCTGGCAAGAGCCTCTTCCTGCCCATAAGCCGTGCCCTCGCATGGAGGAGGCACGGTGTCCCTGAAGCTCTTATTGGAGCAGCAGTTCCCCGCATGAGGGCTCTGTCCTCACAGCCTGAGCACTTCCCAAAGGCCCCCCTACTAAAGCCATCACTTAGGGCTGACTTTCACATACCAGTTTGGGGAGGGGACACAAACACCCAGACCATAGCAGACCTTTATCTCACAACCTATACAAACATGAACATGAACCAGATGTAAACATAAGACCTAAGAGTATAAAACTCTTAGAAGAAAACACTGGGGAAAAGGTTCATGCCAATGGATTTGGCAATGACTTTTTAGATGTGTCATCAAAAGCACTAGCAACAAAAAGTAGAAATAGAGAATGGACTACATCAGAATGAAAAACTGCATCAAAGAACAACAGCCTATACAGGCAACCTGGAGAACAGGAGAATATATTTGTAAATTATATAGCTGGTAAGGGGTTATATCTAGTATAAAGAGTTCCTACAGCCCAGCCAGTGTGGCTCAGCGGATTGAGGGTCATCCCATGCACCAGGAGGTGGCTGGGCAATTCCCATTTAGGGCACATGCCAGGTTGTGGGCTCCATTCCCAGTAGGGGACATGCAGGAGGCAGCTGATTGATATTTCTCCCTCATCGATGTTTCTATCCCTCCCTCCCTTCTCAGAAATCAATAACATTTTTTTTTTAATGAGAGAAAAAAAGAAAAGAATTCTACAACCCAACAACCAAAAAAACACACAACCCAAACAGTTAAAAAATGGGCAAAGGACTGGAATAGACATTTCAACAAAGAAGACATACATATGGCCAATAAGTACATGAAAATATGCTCAACACCACTAACCATGAGGGAAATGCAAACCAAAACCATAATGAAATATCTCCTCACATCCATTAAGAGGGCTACTATCAGAAAACCCAGACAAACAGAAAAACGAAGTGTTGGTGAGGACACGGAGAAATTGGAACTCTGCACTATTGGTGGGAATTTTAAAATGGTGTAACAATATGGAGGTTCCTCAAAAATTAAAAATGGAGGGGGGGATGGGAAGAGATTAACCAAAGAACTCATATACATATATGCATGACCAATAGACACAGACAATACTGTGATGAAGGCCTGGGGTGGGGCAGGGGTTGGGAAGAGGGGAAGAAGGGCGGTGGGGAGTTGGGGGACATCTGTAATACTGTCAATAATAACATAAAAAATTTTAAAGCAAACAAAAATTAAAACTAGTACTACCATATGACCCAGCAATCCCACTTCTGGGTATATCTCCAAAAGAGCTGAGAGCAGAGTCTCAGAAATACTCATAGACCCATGTTTACAGCAGCATTATTCACTGTTATAAGGTTACTCTAGAAACCTCCAAGGGACTTAATGAGACTTTCAAGGATCTTAGTGAGAAAGTCAAAGGCATGAAAAAGGACCAATCATAAAGTAAGCACACACTGACTGAGACAAAGAACAATTTACAGGGTTCAACAGTAGAGTAGAGGATTCTGAGAATCAAATTAATGATGTGGAATATGAGGAAGCAAAAACACCCAATCAGAAGAGCAAAAAGAATCCAAAAATATGAAAAAAGTGTAAGGAGCCCCTGGGACAACTTCAAGTGTGCCAACATTGGCATTATGGGTGCCAGAAGGAGGAGAGCAAGATATTGAAAACCTATTTGAAGTGCTCGCCTGGGCAGCACATATACTAAAATTGGAACATACAGAGATTAGCATGACCCCTGCGCAAGGATGACATGCAAATTCGTGAAGTGTTCCATATTTTGGGGAAAAAAGAAAGAAAACCTATTTGAAGAAATGATGACAGAAAACTTCCCCTACCTGGTGAAAGAAATAGACTTAAAAGTCCAGGAAGCACAGAGAGTCCCAAGCAAGAGGAACCCAAAGAGGCCCACACCAAGACACATAATTAAAATGCCAAGGGTTAAAGACAAAGAGAGAATCTTAAGAGAAAAGCAGTTAGTTACCTACAAGGGAACATCCATATGACTCCCAGCTGATTTCTCAACAGAAACTATGCAGGCCAAAAGGGAGTGGCAAGAAATACTCAAAGTGATGAATAGCAAGGACCTACAACCAAGATTACTCTACCCAGCAAAGCTATCATTTAGAATTGAAGGTCAGATAAAGAGCTTCACAGACAAGAAAAAGCTAAAGGAGTTCATCACCACCAAACCAGGATTATATGAAATGTTGAAGGGTATTATTGAAGAAGAAGAAGAAGAAATAAAAAAGTATGAACAATAAAATGGCAACAAATACATATCAACAATTGAATCTAAAAATAAAAATATATGAACAAGAAATCTAATGAACACAATAAACTGGTGAATAACACAGAATCAGAGGCATGGAAGCATGGAAGAGACATGACCAATCTCAGGGAAGGAGTGGTGGGGGCAGGAAGATATTAACCAGGGACCTTACCTATGGACACAGACAGTAGGTGGTGAAGGTCTGGGATGGGGCAGGAACTGGGTGGAGGGGGACAATGGGGGGAAAGAAGGTACATCTGTAATACTCTCAACAATAAAGATTTTTTAAAAAGTTGGCAAAACAAAGAAAACATCAATGGAAAAAATATCCTCAGGTGAGGATTAAAAACAAAAGGAGTGGGGGAGCTGTTATAAGGGGAGGAAAGGCGGGAAGCCTGTAGGGCAGGATGCAGATCTGGGGTGAAGAGCACAGTTGGTCAGCTGCCGGCCAGAGCTGATCTCAAAGGAGACAAGCTTTGCAGACGAGAAGACAGGCAGAGCGGAGAGCAGGATGCTAAGCCCCTCTGCCCGCCTTGGCTCGCCATCACCTGGATGGAGGGCGCTCCCGGCTCTGAAGCCTCAAGCCGCTCATGGCCAAGACCCAACACTGCATTCCCAGCCTGGAGACCTGGGAGGGGGCTCTACTCTAAACCAACAGCATAGGATGAGAACCAATGCAAAATGTGGTTTTAATTGGGAAATAAAAAACATTGAAAAGAAAATAAACAGTAACCCAGAATGCCTGGGACAGGCAGTCCTGAGGTCAGGCCGCGGCCGGCTGGCATGGGGGGGGGGCGGGGGGGGGGCAGGAGCCATGTTCTGCTCCACACGTGAGTCATTCAGGGTCCCGACCACCTGCCTCCAGCCCGGGCCCAGGGCCTGTGCCTGCAGGCACCTCGGGGCTAGAAGGAGCTCAGTGGCCCATCTCACCTATCACTCTGCCTCTCAAAGGAAACCATGAGCTCACATAGGACTTGGTGATGATAGAAAAATAACTATTTCTAAGCTTGTTATCACCTTAGCAAGGTGAAGCCCAGGATTATAATGAAACGAAGGGCTGGACAAGCTGGAGTTGAACCCGAGGCCAAGTGACGCTGGGAAGCTGTGCCTGTGCAGCCTCAGTGCTGACTAGCAATGTGATCGCTTGTGCCCGCCCGGGACCTCGTGGAGGAGACAGGAGGCCTGGAGGCTGGGTTTCAGGGGGTGTGTGCCACGGCCCTACATGGGCTTCTGGACTCGGAGCTGGGACCGCCCAGTGCTGCCTGCCGGCTCCCCTCTCCCTCGCCGGGGCAGCTCACCACAGATAGTTCGTTTCTTCATCGTTCTCGGAGTGGTTTTTGGCATCAGAAAAATTCTGGTAAAAATACACAAACATAAAACTTATCATCTTATCCATTTTTTTAATTAAAATTTTTTAATTTAGCTTTCCTACTTCAGTTTATTGAGTAGCTGTTGTTTATTTTTAAAAATATGTTTTTATTGATTTCAGAGAGGAAGGGAGAGGGAGAGATAGAAACATTCATGTTGAGAGAGAATCACTGATTGGCTGCCTCCTGCACGTCTCCCACTGAGGATTGAACCCACGACCCGGGCAAGTGCCCTGACAGGGAATCGGACCGTGGCCTCCTGGTTCATGGGTCAACACTCAACCAGTGAGCACACCGGCCGGCCATCTTAGCCATTTTTTTTAAAATATATTTTATTGATTTTTTACAGAGAGGAAGGGAGAGAGACAGAGAGTCAGAAACATCGATGAGAGAGAAACATCGATCAGCTGCCTCCAGCACATCTCCTACTGGGGATGTGCCTGCAACCCAGGTACATGCCCTTGACCGGAATCGAACCTGGGACCCCTCAGTCCGCAGGCCGACACTCTACCCACTGAGCCAAACCGGTTTCAGCAATCTGAGCCATTTTTAAATGTACATTTACATTGTTGTGCAACCCATCCCCACAACCTTTTCATCTTGCACAACTGAAAGCTAATACTCATTAAACAACTCCCCTCCCCCCGGCCCCCGCAATTACTATTCGGTCCTGTGTCTGTGAAGAGGACTCTTCTAGAGACCTCACATAAGCGACAGCATAGCGTTTGTCTTACTGCTACTGGCTCACTTCACTTGGCATGTCTGTTCTCAAGGTTCGTCCATGTTGCAGCATGTCCGAGTTTCCCTCCTGGTTAAGGCTGAGGAGTCCTCCACTCCGTTAGACACTTTATTTACCAGGCATCTGCGGGCGGACGGCGGAGCTGCTCCCACCTCTCGGCCGCTGTGCACAAACCGGTCTGGGCCGCTGCTCTCGGTTCTCTTGGGGGTTGCGCAGCAGGACTGCTGGGTCCTGGGGAGAGGTGCTGCTTTTCTGAGGAACCTCCACATGGTTTTCCGCGGCAGGTCCCACCAGGTGTACAGGATTCCAATTTCTCTGCCCCCTGGCCAGCACTTTGCTGATAGCAGCCATCTTGGTGGGTGAGAGGTGACACCTCGCTGTGGTTTCGATGGGCATTTCCCTCATGATGGGTGGTGTGGGGCCTCTTTTCCTGTGCTTATTGGCCATTTGCATGTCTTCTTTGGAGACATGTTTATTCAAGTCCTTTGGCTATTTTAAAACTGTGGTATTGTTGTTGTGGACGAGAGAGCTCTTATTTTATAATATACATAAATATGTTTGAAATATGTATGTATAATACTCTATCATGCACATGCATTTCAAGGCTGGAAAGATAAACTATACCCTCTGCTCTCCTAATTAGAGTAGAATGGACTGGGTGGCCTCCTTGGTGACAACACTGCCATTATACACACACTTGGAAACTGAAAGTGCAGAGGATGTGCTTGTCCAACAAGACATGCCCCGGCCCGGTGATGCCTGCGGGGACCGGGACGCACCGCCTGTCTCTGCCTGAACTGCTTTGTGGTGGTTCTTGCCTTTTAGAGTCTTCGGGTTCCTCCCCGCTCAGCGTGTCTCGATCGCACTGTGACTGCTGCGAGGATGCTTCCTCCCAGATCCCACTTCGCATGTTAAATGTTAACTTCCCGCGGTAAACTCAGCAAACAAGAACCTCAGAGTCGCCTCAACCAGTTAAGAGTGTCACTTGGGTGCATTTTCTATGTGGAATCAATTTTGGCTTTTGGAGCATCTCGGGTATATTTCAAATAGTTGAGGTTGTCAGATAAATGACTACTAGATAACGGAGGTTTTGGCAGCCAAGACTATACGGGCAAAGAAATGAAATTCTAGAAAATGAGAGGATATGGAAGAATTAAGGCAGAAAACGACAGAGGTGACGAGGGGAAAGAGGGAGGGAGAGTGAGGAAGAAGAAAAAGCGCATCACCGCGAGGCCATGATGACACAGGCACAGGGACCGAGCGCTGTCAGGCGGCCGGGCACTGGCCCAAGATGACACGGGCGCCAATCACTTCATCCTCCGCAGCAACGAACAGAAGGTAGGGGACTGTTGTTACCCTGTTCTGAGGAGGAGAGAACTAAGGCCCAGGAAATATACACAACTTCCTTCAGGCCGTACAGTTAATAGCCGATATTAGTTACCTATCGCTGTAAATGAACACAAACTCAAGTTTAAAATAGCACAGCCTCGGCGGGGAGGAGTTGGGGCTCGTCTCCCCTGGGGCTTACCCACGGAGGAAGCTCGCTCAGTGTGGGCAGGTTCATTTCCGCGCAGGACTGAGAACCGACGGCGCCCGCTTCTCGCTGACAGGGGGCTGGATGTCTGCACCTGCACGTTCACTGCAGCATTATTCACAACCGCCGAGGCTGGCAACGACCTCCGTGTCTGTCCACAGACGGCTGGGTAAGGAGCCTGTGGCGCACACGCAGAGGCCGTGACTCAGCCTGGAAGAAAGAAGGAAACGCCGCCGCTCGACAACGTGGATGAACCTGGAGGACGTTCTGCTCGGCGAAGTCAGCCAGTCACCACGAGACGAACACTGCGCCATGTCACTGTCTGTGGGACCCGCTGGTTCCAGGGGTGGGGGTGGGGCTGTAAATGGGGAGGGGCTGGTGGAAAGGTACAAAGACTGGTGATGTGGGAGGAATAAGTTCTAGAGTGGTATTGTACGCCATGGGGCCGGCAGTTAAACTTGCTAAGAGAGTTGATACTACGTGTTCTCACCACACACAAATTGCAACTCTGTGCGGTAATGACTATGTTAATTAGCTTACTTGTGCTAATCATTTCACCTTGGACACGTATAGCAAGTCGTGTTGTGCAGCAGTTCCCTGCCATATACTGATGTTTTGTTCCCACCACCCCAGTTTCCTATGTTGAAATCCTAACCCTAATCCTAAAGGTAATGGTTCTTATACAGATACTGCCTGCTTTTCATTGCTGTTCAGTGTTGGGCCATTTGTATTTCCTGAGCATGGCCCTTAGGAGCCCTGGGAAAGACCGACCTGCCCCAAATAGGTCCAGATGTACAGACACTGTGTTAGGAAATAGCTCCATCCATACTGACCATTCATTAATGTCCAAATATTATCCAAACGGAATCTATAATTCTGTATCTTCTGGCTGGAAGTGCTTTGGTTTCCTGACCTCTGTGAAGGAGTCTCCTAAAATATTTCACTGTGGGCTGCGGAATTATCTGGAAAAATGTCTAAGAAATGACCTTGCTGCCCTAGCTGGTTTGGCTCAGTGGATAGAGCGTCGGCCTACGGACTGAAGGGTCAGGGGTTCGATTCCAGTCAAGGGCACATGCCCGGGTTGCAGGCTCGATCCCTGGTGGGGGTGGGCAGAAGGCAGCCGATCAATGATTCTCTCTCATCATTGGTGTTTCTATCCCTCTCCCTTCCTCTCTGAAATCAATAAAAATATTTTTAAAAAAATGACCTTGCTCACACCTTCTTAAAGAGTTACACTGTAGCATGGCGCCACCTAGTGGCCCCAGTGTAATATCACCACAACCTTTTTTAGTCTAAATTCTTGTTTCTTCTGATGGAAAAAGTGTGGGGAGCCGGCATTCTCATGCCAGCTCAGCCTGGTTCAGTGACCCTGAGATGGAGCGATGAAAGGCTTAGAAAAGACAGACAAGAGAATGAAAGCTGGGTCTCGGTGGGACGCTGCCCCTCTGATAGACAGCTCCAGCGCCCACAAGCCGTATCTTTATTTTATAGTAGATACCACGAGGCAAAGTAAGGGCGTGATCAAGATGTTTACAACATTCTCATGGGTTTCAACCTCACTCAACGACATGCACCTGAACTATATCACTCAGGCATGTGGGCCCACGTTTACGGACCATAGGTTCACACTAACAACTACAGCTGTTGGCTATAATTGTGCTGGGAAGGCTCTGCCCTCCAAGCTGGGAGTTGCACGTGGCAACGAAAGGACTGTGCCCTCTCATCAGTCCAAGGCTTGAACCTGTCCAGAACACTGTAGCCGCGCCCCCTAAAAAAGTGCTCTGCCCATGATCATCTGCCAGCGACCTCAAGTCCACCGGGTCCACGCCCAACCTTTTAGCCACAAGGCAGGGCCCCATCACCTTTAGCTCATCTTTTCAATCTGTTGCTAAGAACCTTGTTGCCTGAAAGCAGTTTACTAATGGGAATCTGTATGAAGCAAAAGAAAAGCAATGATTCTGAAACTTTCAAATTAGGCCATTCTAATTTAATCTGTCTATTTTGGTGCCACTTAATACATTATCTTTCAATTTTTATGTAGTGCCTCTGTGACGTTGAACATCCTCCCTTGTACTCCAAAGGAAATGGATCACTTGCACATTTTTAATACAAAAGTCTTGTTAACGTAAGAAAACATTCAAACCTGTGAAGAATTTTTGTGAGTTTGAGCCAAACTGTCGACAATTGCCAGGAAGCAGTATCTCAACCTATTGGGATAATGCTCCGCAGAGGGGCGGGCTTGCACCTATTTTTATAAATTACCATCAAAGGTGGAGACCTAAGTGGGTTACATGAAATCTATTGACAGATTAGGGAGGAGGGAGAAAGTAAAGGGGGGGGGAGGAATATCTGGGATTGGATAAAAAGTAAAAAGAAAGACACATGCTTCTTGAGAGTTGCTGGGAGGTTCTAGCGGGGAGCGCAGCTACTCCTTACCGTTGACGGAAGACTGGTCCTCTCCTCTGGGGGGAAGGGCGTCCTCTTCCACCCAGCGCAGCTTCGGGAGGGACTCACATGCATCGGTGGGGAGGAGGGGGACACCGGCCTAGCCAGCCAGATCAGCCGAATCAACTCCGATCAGTTTCCTGGGGCAGACGTCGCAGCCAGACAGCCCTCCATCCAACACATGCGTCTCTTACATAGGGGGGTACAGGACAGCTAACAGGCAAAGATTAACATGGGAACAATAACAATGAGGACTTTTGTGGTCTGTGCCCTGGCACCATTTGTTGTGCCTGAGGGGTCGGGCAAAGGGAAGTCGCCCTGACAGTCCACAGGTGAGCTATCTTAGATGAAAAAGACAACAGGCTCAGTAAAAACTGAAGTTGATCTTTGTCAGAGAAGATACAGGGACATGACTGCCCACTATAAACTGCTTTTCAATTAAAGGCTCTAATTTCAGACCATCCTTTGTGGTTACTTTAGGTTCCTTGAGTGTGCCAGGCTGCCACGCAGGCCTTCCCTGAGTTAGTCAGGTTAGCACGTGGCCCCTTTGCGTCCAGTTTGCAGACCGGCAGAGCTGAAATGGGGAACCACGGTTCTGAATGCTGATTCTCTATGAATACCTGTCCTGTCTCCTCGAAAATACTGTGAATTCCAAACAATTCCTGGCAAAGAAAATTTTTGTTTTAAGAGATCTGTACAGAGCACAGGGACAGAAGACGAAGCTATTAGATGTGTGAAAGCTATGAACTGAATTTTTTATTTGGGAATGAGGTAAGAGGACTGGCATTTAGTGCAAAAAAAAGGACATTGAGCGGATCAGAGCACTGGGGAGGGTGGCGGGGGCTGGGGTGCCAGCGCAACCCAGGACAAGACACCAATACCCACAGAAAAGGTGGTAACTCTGGGTCTTCCTTACTCAGTTGGAGAACCAGGTAACAACACCCGACGTCATCGCTTTCAGAACTGGTGCCCACGGGGAGGGGAGCCATAGGACCCCATTCAAGAAGTTCGGACGCGAAAGCAGAACTGCGCCAGGTTCTGGGATCTGATCCATAAAAGAAACTGCTTCCTAAAGGAACGAGCCATAGGCGTGCTGTGGGTGCCCACTCAGTCAGTATCCACTCTTTCCTGCTTCTCTGAAAAGAATCCCACTTTTAAAGAAAATCAATACTTGAATGTCTCCATTGGTATCTACGCTTTTCTCTGTCTCCAGGTGGGTTTCAAGCCTCCTGCCACTCTGCGGGTTCCTTTTGCAGATAGCACCCTGCCGCTGGCGTCCCGCTTAGGGGCGAGGAAAGGGCATGTGGAGGCCAGAGCTTCTCCCAAGCTTCTTCCCTCCTCTCCAGTCAAGCCGCAGCTCAGAATCCAGAACTCTTGCCCGGGGACAAGGCCTGGCTCCAATCCCATCAATAGCCGCATTAAAATACTGACCTTCAAATCTGTCATCTGTGGACAGGCCACTGACTCTTGGGACCAAGGAGTCCCCACCCTGGCCCCCACCCTTTCAGGTTCCCAGTTTCCTCCTCCCTCAAACTCCTAAGTCTAGGGCCTCGCCTTCCCCTCCTCCCTCAGACCCAGAAGTCTAGGCCCCTCGGTACCCCTCCTACAGGTCCTCAATCCCCTCCTCTCTTGGGCGCCCAGCCTCCTCAGGACCAAGGGGCCAGGACTCTCAAGTCTCCATCCCTCCCTAGGACCCAGGTCATGCAGCAAACAGCCCGGGTTCGTGCAGCCAGAAACCCCCCTGACTTCTCTCCCGCAGTTACTCGCTCTCAACTACCTCCAGCGTTGTTTTTCCCAGAGGCGGGTCTGACACAGGAGCCCGCCACCGGAGTCCAGCTGTGATAAGCTACTCATGGCGTCAGTCACTGTTAACCAGCCAATAGACACCCGCCTCCTACTAGCCTGGGCCACTCAGGGCGCGTACCTCAGTAGGCGGGCCCCACGGCCTAAGTCGGAGAGACATAGGCTCTCAAAGACGCCAGTCCCACCCGCCTGCCAATAGGGGGAGCGCCTGGGGGCGTGGGCATCCTGGTGGTGAGGACTCGGGCTCTCTGGGTCCAGCGGGTAGGCCCTTTCGGGCGCGGCCGCGTGGGGGTTCTGGGCTTAGTAGTACCTCCGGCGGGAAGCGGTGGGCTTGGCGAGGCTTGGAGCGGAGCGGGGAGTTTAGGTGGCCACCGCCCATTTTGCTTTGTTGGAGGAACTGAGTCGGAATGCAGAGTCTCAGATATTCATCCGTCCGTTCCATTCCTCACACCCCACATCTGATTCTTGTCTGTGTCTAGCTGCCCTGCCCCCGGTCCCTTCAGTCCTTCCTACCCATTGGGCACATCCTTGCGCTGCATTGTGCCCGCTGGGGCTCATGCCCTCCCGGTGATTTCCCTGTTGTCCTCGTTATAGGTTTCATGACTAACGGCCTTCAGTCTCCAGTAAACGCCTCTCCCAGCTCAGATGACCGCCCACACCTGGCCCTACGTGCACCTGGTCCGACCAGAAGGTCCCGCTCTCCCTACCCTACCCTACTCAGCTGATGCCATTTTGGTCTCGGCCCTTCTGCTAGCAGATGTAATAAAGTCATAATTCTTTACCCCTTTTGGCCTCGTGCATTTCTCCTTCCGGACCCTACCACCACCTTCACGAATTCCCTCACTCGCTGACTTCCTCATGACCCCTCACACCCATCCATTCCTCACACCTTTCCTGAGGCCTCCTGTGTGCAGCCGCATGCTGGGTGATGGGGACCAAGATGAGTCAGGCCTGGGGCAGAGGGGAGGACGGACCCGCACACTGATGGGCAGGGCTGTGAGAGGCCAGGGTTTCCAGAGGAGGGGCCATTGGAGGAGCAGGTGGTGCCACTCAAGGGGCAGGAGACCTGGGCGGCCTGGCTATGGTCCGAGGCTCACAGGTGCTGCAGGCGCCGTGGTGCCGGGTGGAGGGAGGACCAGGCGGATGCGCTCCACACACAGTGCGGGAGGCTGCCGCATCTCAAGAATCATTTGGGGTCATCTACTGCTCATTCCCCAAAGTCCATTTCCCAGGATTCCTTGCAGCTAACAGGCACGCTACACGGTTCTGACCAGTGAAATGTAAGCAGAAATATGCAAGCGGGGCTGCAGGAAAACCTGTTTTGCTAAGAGACTCACTTGTGCCTTTCCCCTTCAGCCCTTCCTTAAGGAAACACTGGTGATGCCCAAGGCGCAAAGGTCAGGTCCCGGAGACACTGTGGAGTCATTCTATCAGTCGGCCTGAGGCTTTCTCAGAAAAAAGCAAGCCCAACGGGGTTTAAGCCATTGTTACTGGGTTTGTAATCAAACATACTAAATACTGTTTTAAAAACTAGATATCTTCGTGCTTTACAGATACTATGAATATAGTTGGACCATTCAAATTTCTCTGAAGACTTAAAAAATAAGGCCTTCACACCAGTGTGGGTCCTATACTGGCCCTCTGAGTGCTAATTATTTTATCTGCTGCCGTAACATTTGCAATAAAGTGCAGAGAAGGCTAATGTAGATTATTGATTTCACCAATGTATTAGTAGATATGATAATAATAAATGGTACTTTTACATTCTCTTAACCAAAAATATAACAAATATTTACACTCAGTAAAAATACAAAAAGCATACAGAGGCACCGTCTTTCTAAAAGACATAAGTTTAAGAGGTATCAAAATAGGAGACAAACATTGCTTGGTACAGGAAACTTGACAATCACTGAATTGTGCAGTATAATTGCTATTAGACTATTATGACTGTGCAGTTTTGTTTTTGTCTCTTGCTGAAGTTCATGTTTCATTTTTGAAAGATCAAGTACAACTGCATTCTGTGTATAAAAAATAAAAAAGCCTTTAAAAAGCACAACGAAAGCTAAATATGAACTGGGGTCCAAGTTTAAATCTGAAAATGTCCCGTGACACTTCTCTGAAGACTTCTTCTCCATTTGTTCTAGCTTTTAAGGTAATTCTAAAATGACACATACTTGAGTATCTAATTTTTTAGAAATTTAAAATATATCAGAATAACAATCCTTGTTTTAAATACACAAGGAAACGTCCTCCCGTTCTTCTGCTGGGAAGAAAACACTTTATAAAAATTAGGTTCGTTTGGGTTTACCCCCCTGGATCACTGCCACCGTCCAGCCTGGAGGCCCTCCGGGAGGCTACGCAGGTGTGACAACATGACTTATCACCCTTATGAAAAACCGCTTAAGGCTTTTTCTCCCTAAAATCATTCTGAAAGTAATCATTTGGAGGGAGCAAAAATCCATTAATTACAATCAACTTTTACGGAAGTAAGTATTGGATTTACTAATTCTGCAAATCTTTCTTCACGAAGAGCCTATGCTGAAACTAATTTGGCAAAAGTCTGCACCGTGGATTTACTGCTTTAGTTAGTAGTCCTGGCAAATTCAGAATTGTGGTGGGATGAAGGCATGAGTCTCTTTATTATAATAAAGTTATAAATTTATAAAATAAAAACAAAAGCAAATGGGGATTTAGAATTGAATCAAATACAGGTTAAGGCTTCTCTTGTTCTTGTCATATGACGAGAAGGCAGGAATGTACCCTAAAATAAAATGTAAAAATCAAAACTCCATGATTTTTTAAGGGATACATTCATATCACACTACAAAGCATTTGGCTTTAGTTCCTGATCAATGTGATCAGCTGATCCAAATACAGTTGAAGCTTCGATGAAACAAAGGCAGCTACAAGGTGCAAGAACAAAACCACAAGCCTCCAACTCTCTGTGCAAGATGTTACTGACACCACTAAGGACAAAGGTGTGTAAAGCTCCCACTGGATTGCAAGACCCGCTAAATAAACAGACAATGTGCAAAGGGCACATTTTCCCAGGGTAATGAATGTAAAATGTGAGAATATCCAAACCTGATGAAAAGATGGTTATAGCAAAAATATATTTCACTTTGGACATGAAAACAATGAAGCAAATCAGTGAAGGAAATATCTGATCAGAGAATGTCTGTTTACAGGTCAACTCACAACAGTGTGACTTTCAAACCAGGATTTTGGTCTGGGCTACTTTCCATTTCAATGGACCCAGAAAGCTATGGAGCCAATTAGCCTCATTCTAACATACCTTCATTTCTAAGGCTTATGTTTCAGATTAACATTATTTTGCCCAGGGGAATTTTTCAGACATGCTGTCTTTCCTAAAATGAAGAAACATTGCTTTGCAGCGGTTCTCAACCTGTGGGTCGCGAACAATGAAAATACATCCTGCATATCAGATATTTACATTACGATTCATAACAGTAGCAAAATTACAGTTATGAAGTAGCAGTGAAAATAATTTTATGGTTGGGGGTCACCACAACATGAGGAACTGTATTAAAGGGTCGCGGCATTAGGAAGGTTGAGAACCACTGGCTTAGATGGAAAAGATGGACTACTGCTATTTACACTTGGAACTGACATGATTTTAAACTGCAGGGGACAGGCAGAACGCAGGGACAGAGACAGGGACGCACGGCTGGGAACAACGGGCACACACTGAAAGGAAGTCACAAACACTAAACTCTCTACATGTGCGTGTGGACCAGCACACAGAGGTAAACCCATTTGGCTCCAAGCGGATCTGGGTAGTGCACGTCAATGGCTTTGGCTTTTTTTTTTTTTTGGTAGCCACAGAAGTTTATTAAGCTCTCATTTGCCTTTACACTAAAAAACAAATTTAAAAATTTAAATGTAAGATAGAGAACACATTATATTTTATTTGTAAAAATGTGGAAAGGCTAGCTTGTCCACTAAACAATCATTGAAACTTAAATACCTAGGAGTGCCATGCCCAGCGGGCTATTAAAAAATATATTTCCTTTCTGTCTTAGGCTAGAATGGGAACAGAGAGATCATTCATTTCCATAATTCTAATGCCTGTTTCCTTCACAGAAATTTCTACCAATTACAGTGGGGTCTTGACTTATGAGTGTCCCGACTAACGAGTTTTTTGAGATACCAGCTGTCTCTCGGCTGATTTTTTGCATTGAGTTGACAGAGTAATTTGAGTTAACGAGCTCGGTCTTGGAACGAATTAAACTCATAAGTCAAGGCCCCACTGTATATACCTTCATGAGCTAATGAGCTTTACTGCAGGCAGCTGGGAGATCAGCGGGTCCCAAGCTGTGCCATGGGGAGGGTGCGGCAAAGCACTGCCCAGAGCTAAGTTCATCCTCAGGGTCCCACCACCAGGATGACACAGCCTTTAAAAAACAACTCCATATTCGAGTTGAGAAACTTTTAGTTTTGGGTTTCTATGGAGTAGAATGCTCTAGAACCCATTCTCTATTTACTGGATTTATACTTTTAATTAGATGCAGCATGACTTTAAGTTCAAAAAGACTTGGTATACATTATTTCACATAAACATTTCATTCGTTGGAAATTAGGATTGCCTCTCCCTTCCCCAAAGGACTGGTAAGAAACCCTGTGGCAGTTCATTCGGTCTTCCAAATGGAGACCAGCACATGAGTATTTTTCTTCCTATGCCTCAACTGCAACCGGCATCCAATTCCACTCAGGCTGCACCCTGACGTGCATTGGTGCTAGATCCTCAAAGTTCTGTACAGATCAAGCATATCACCCTATAAAGGCGACTTCTGTTTGGTCAGACCAGAGACAGTTTTATGGTCTCAAACAAACATCAGCAAATGAGAGCTTCTAAATACAAAACCCACAAAAACTTCAAATAATAAGTTACTTTTCAAACACACAAGACTATCCTCCATATTGGCAGACATTTTGAATTTGTCCGTTAGCCCAAGCTATGGCTTGAAAACGACTATTTCAACACGTTAAGCACCATGCCAGTCACCGGTGACTGACACTATACTTTCCGTCTGGACTGGTCGTCACTGGTGCTGCCAGCGTATCGGTGAAATCGGACATCGCGGGCTAAACGGAAAACAAGACAAAACAGGCTTGGCGCTTAACGTGTTAAAAATAACTTGTTAAAGGAAAACCTATAGTGATATAATATACACGAGGAGGACTCCGAGTCTGGATTTGTTCTAGTAACTTGGTCCCAAGGCAGGTCGGGTGTGCAAAGTGAAGACGTATCCAGGCACGACCTCCATCGCTGCGGAGACGGCGCATCTGCAGGGATGAATGAGAGGAGGCAGGCGCAGGCTCATCGCGGCTCAGAGGATGGGGAATGGAACCTCTGGTTGCGGCAGCGGCAGCGTGCTATCTGCTGGCCGGTGGAACCATGAGGTGGCTCTGCCCACTACTTCCTCCAGGACTTTTCAGGCGTCAAATGGGCCTCCAAAGGCTAGACTGCTGACACTTGTTCATTTTCTGAAAATGATAAAAATACAATTAAGTGATAGATTAGCATATTCATGAATAACCTAGATATGTTATAAAATTAGTCAATTTCAACAAAGAAATCCTCTCAATGATCCTATCAAGGTCCAGATTTTCTTGTAATGACATTTATGAGTTCTGATCACACTGAAAGCTGACAGTAAACTGGAATTTCATAACTTCTTTTTAATTACGTTATTACTCTATTGTTTAAGAGGATAAAATTTCATTTATTTTTAACGAAGCAAATCACAGCTGCCAAGTCAA